AACCCCCGTCGAATGCTTGGAAGGCATCCATGCTGACCATTACACCACGAACGCACGTCGGTGGTGGAAAGGGGAAGGGATATGAAGGGAGGGGGATCGCCGAGCCGGTTTTGGCTCGCCCAGCTGCCATGTGTTGCCCCAGGCAAGGCAGGGGTAATGAAATTGATTGAGAGATATTTATTGCAATGCAAGAAATTTATTCCTAGAACCCGTAATGAAGTATTGAGAACACGTCATCGAATCTGCATGGAAATCAAAGAATCACAGGGCGGAAAGAAGCGAGTTGTAACTTGGTGCTTTACGGCACTCGCACCAAATCAGCATTGAGATTTGGGCGTAGTGAGTCGTCGACCTCTTCGGCTGTCATTCGGACCCTGCCGTACTGTCCACCATACAGATCGGTACGGTCGGTGATGAAGTTACGGATTCCACCGTCAAGCTCATCTTCGGATGGCTTTGGCTTCTGAAAGGTTAAATTTTATACGTAAGCTTACGTAAGTACTCATACAGATATTTTTGACATTAGAGAATTTTGTCGCTATTTTAACATTTCTTTTGTGGAGATTTTTTTCTACACTGGGAGATTCTGGCTCCTCGCCTCCCGGCTAACAGCCTAGTGCCAATTTTATTTGAATTCTAACTTCAGGGAACGCTTTAAATCCCATTGTCCAGCTTATCTACTCGGTACACTCAGGCGTTGCAAACTTTGCGCGTTCACCCCAAGGCTTATCGCAGGTTTTCGCGAATTCCATCCAAACATTTTATTGCAAATTCGCGGGAATTCCCCGTCCGGTCGCCAGCACCCAGTTTTCTCAGTTCGTTGGGTCCACGGCTCACCATTTGACCCGTGGACCGACCAGCCAGAAGGGGGCCACCACCCCGAATCAAACAGACATTTTTCATGTCCGCAAATATCGGCATCATCGGCCCGCGCGCGAATGGAAAACGGGACACAGAGAGAGGCGCTGCTCAAGCATCCTTGTCGTGCCTTTTTTCAGGGGTTAAAAAGTAAAATGGCCTGAGTGCAACAAGTTCGAGGAGGTCACTGGTCTTAAGAGTTATGCTTGAGCTTGTGCTTAATCTAAAACAAGTTTCTGGAAAACATATCGTTGATTTAGCTTACTTTTTTAAGTTAAGATACTTCGAAACGCGAAGAATTCTGGAAAATCGTCGCATAATAGTTTTGGCGCAGGAACTGGCCTATTTGTGCTCCGTTTAAATAAAGACGTTGAGGTTATTACCTTTTACTACCGTAATCCATTTTCACAAACAACATAAACTCCAGAAATGCGATTTTAATAGAATTTTCATAAAAAATACCTGAGCCCCGGGCGCAGCTCGATTATTCACAGCACCCATGATCTTGTCCCCAAGCTTCGTCAACGGGTAAAATATCGTGCGCTCAAAGTGGACGAACGCACTATGGTTGACAGACTAAAAAATATATGAAAAATTTTCAGGCAATTTTGCTATGGCCAAAAAACTCAAGTAAACCCAAGTTACCTACCCGGAAAGGCGTCCCGATGAAGAAACAGAAGAATTTCCACAGCGGGGCTTTCTAAAAATCGATCGTTTTGACTGTAGGATTGTAGCTTACATAGGTGTATGTCGGCATGATGTCACCGATACCAATGGTGGTGACGGTCAAGAACGAGAGGTAGATGGACAGCCAATAGTTGATGCTGCCCGGGCCGAAGGCGGCGTCGTAGCCGCAGATGAAGGCCGCGCAAAGGGCCCAACTAGCTGAAAAACAGAAGCAAAATTAGCTTGCATGTAAGGTTTTGTGTTTTCGATAAGGCACTATAAATTATTATAACTTACCTAGTAGTAATCCAAAAGATATAACGACTGGAAGCTCAATCTCATCCTTTGGACCAAGGCCAAGCAGCTTTCTGAAAGATGTAAAATGATCCAAGAGCCAAAACTTTGAAAAAATTTGTATAGACCTGTAATTTCAAAAACATACCGAATCGGACCGTAGATAGCAGCGTAGAGCTTCGTGAACAAGAAGAGATACCAATGGCCCAGATCTCGGACCACCACTTGGGCCAATGCCAGAGCACCGAACGCGTAGATGGCGAGTGTAAGCCGACCAACGCCATTTTGACCGGGAACACTTCCTGAAAAAAATTATACTAACTTATCATTGGCAATTTCACACCGTAATCGACCCCCATGAAGATGTTGGTGCAGTAGAAGACAGCCGGCCAATACTGCCAGGCGTAATTCCCATCATCATACTTCCACAGCGCGGATAAGGTGTAGCGACGCTCGTTTTTGAGGAGTTCTTTGTAGGCGTTCTAAAATCCAAATGAGCTGAAAATACAAATGGAAAAATTACCCTAATGAACTCGTAGACGTCGGTGGCGTTTCCGGTTGCCAGTACGGCTGGCATTTGTTGGGCGAGGCTGGCAATTTCCGCATTAAGAGCTGCGACTTGTCTTCGGACCATCTAAAACTCCCGAATTTTGATGAAAGTGAGAGTGTCACGTTTGTTTTAAAACCTATTAAAAGCCGTGTTTTTAATTTTTTTAATATACCATAACACTCTCGATGATTCCTCACCTTCTTCTCATATCCATGCTCGGAGAAGTAGAAAAACATCCCGCCCAGTAGGGTACAAGCCGTGAAGACGATCACCAGCAGCACCTGCCTGATCGCAAATTTCCTGTGGTTGTTGACGAGCCAGTAGACGGAATTGAGGAACCCTAAATATGTATAAAATTTTTCCCGGGAATTTAACTCGAAATGTTGACCCCGACGCGGTGAGTAAGCGTGTGAAAAGCTGCTTTTGTTGGAAAAAGGGGAAATATTTTGGGCTGTCGGCCAACAGAGATAGCCTCTATTCTTGAGGTTCCTTGCAGGCCAAAGACGTATAGCTCTTCTTTAAATAATTTTTTATTTTGTACTTTATAAAATTCTTTAAATAATTTTTTATTTTATATAATACAGAATTCAGAAACACTCACGATTGTCCGCTTTCGGCGGTGCAATTAATTCTGCGCCGCTGGAGCCACCATAGGACGTGCCGTTTGGAGAGAGTTTGCCTTGGTATTGGCCGGCGGCTACAAGCGAGTTTTATTCAAAATTATCTGGTTTTTTCATACCCATATCAGGGGTATAGATCGGTGGTGGAGGTGATAGAGGGCGTGGGCCTCGGACAGACATCGAGGGGGTGGCGATCCCGGGAACCGCACGGATTGGCTATAAGAATGGGATTTTTGGATATTCCAATTTGCACCTACTTCCTGGTTCATTTATGCGCTTGGGGGTGGATTCAGAAGCGTTGTGGCCTTCGATTTAGAAACTTATCTGAAAGGAGAAAACTATAAAACCGCAAAAAAATTTAGAAATATGGTGTTTTCAAATGGTTCCTTGAAATTGCTGTGGCAGGCGTACAAAACCTTACACTATCCACCAAAGGATCCGATTCTCACGACTATACAGTTTTATACCCCGCACCTTTCTCGCGAGCCCCACCCCGCACCAGGGGTACGGTACCTTGAGCGGTCAGATTCTCAGGAGTTCCCACAGCTGTGGAGAATCAGAGATAGCAAGTAGAGAAACCCGAAAGAGGTCCCCATCGCAGAGGTGGTGGAGGCGGGCCAACCCCCGATACAAAACCCATTCAGTTCGCAAAAAAGAGGGAAAAGAGAGTTCAAACTGCCTGGCAAATATAGGCCATTCTAGGGTAGGGGTGATGAGAACAGGGGAGTGAATGCGTCAGAAGGCCTTTTCCGCCTCTTCCCCTGGTCGAGCCACACCGAAAAACACGGCTCACCGCCTGATCGCTCAAGTTTCTCAGATGGGCGGTGGGGTTTCGGAGAAGACGTCACATAGTAGTTCGGGTTTGCGGCAGCATGAATCAGGTCGAGTTGATTCGGACCGTAGACAGTTTTCTGGTCAAGCGTTGCTCCGGAGGTACGGTATCTTACATCTGGATATTTCAGCAATAGTGTACTTTTGGAACTTTTAAATTAAAAGATTACCGTTCCGCTCCTTTTTAGCGCTCCTCCTTTTTTAAGTTTTTTTTATATTTCCAGCGTCTGCAATAGAAAGCCGATTTTTAGCCTTCGGTAAACGGAAAAATCTCGATACCATTTCAGCCCCGAATACGTTCTCTGCAAATTCTCCAAAAAGTATTGTCTATTTATGGAGCGCGAAACTCTTTTTGGTCTGTTTGTTCGTGGCAGTCGAGTACGGCGGTTACGGTAGTTGGACCGTAACAAAATTGGTGGCGGTTTTCCTGAACTAATCGGCGTCTCAGCTTAATTTTTAGCGCCCGACCCTTTTCAGTCAGATTGGCAGAGCTTGATGGCCGGATTAACATCTTATGGGCCAGAGCCAAATTCAATATTTATACAAAAAAAATCACAAAAATTAATGTTCACAATCATGCTTCTCATTTGGCAGGACCAGCTCGAGGTTCCAAGTGCCGATGTCAAACGTCTAAAACGATTTGAATTTTTCTAAGTTGGATATGGTTAAACATTTTTCAGTATTCTTAAATTATGTTCTTCTTTGTCTAATCTGACCTTTGTCGCATTGCTCCCAGCCGTCAAATACTTGCTGGGGATCTCAAACTTCCAGCGGCGTTGGCAGGGCTGAAATTAATCACCTACGTACTAAATCGTGACTTTGATACCGTGATTCCATCATTGCAATCATGATAGATGTTGATGGCTGTGTCAAGAGTAGTATACTCCGTGTTTGTTCCCTAGATTTAGATCGTTTTTGGGTGACCCGTAAGTACCTCGAGTTCAAATTGGCCATTCGCGTCCGTCCTTGCTTGATCGAGCTTGTCATCATCGTCTTTGCCTGGAAAAAATGGCAAATCTGATTTTGAAACGGTTTCCTTACCAAAATCTTCCTCCATCAACTTCACCAGCACGTCTTTTGCCGGATTCTTACCGCACAAAAATGCGCCTTTCACCTAGAAACCGGCACATTAAGGTATTCAGAATATTCTTACCCGAACACTTTGCGTTCCGGACGTTTTCTTTGGCGGAGTGACCTCCGGCCGCGCAAATATCAAGGGGAGTAGTGCGATGAGGAGGTAAAGTTTCATTTTCTGAAGCGGATTGTGGGTCCAAAAAGGATCGTTAGCGATTTGAAAGATATCGAAACCGTTTTCACGGCTGGGTAGTAAAAGGATAGCAGTAGTAAAAGAAATTAAATATTTATTGGTTAATACAACGGCGCTGCTCCTTTTCCAGTTGAACCTCGAGGTTCAACGTGCCGATCTCAAGGGTTTCCGTGGGGGTTTCACCATCGGTGATGTAGCGGCTCGGGATTCGGATAAGCCAACGGCGAAGGCATTCCTGAAATAAGACAGCTACGTTATAACAAACAACAAAATATACATAAAATACAAAATAATTATACTAGACCATCTCAATGTTTGAACTCTCACCTTGTGCTGATCATTACAATCATGATAGATCTTCAATTCGGGCTCGATCACCGAAAGTTCAGCAGTAGAGCCTAGAATATTCCAAATATCTAACTTGTTTACCCTAGCACTCGCCTGTCAACGAAAAGGTGCCATCGGCGGAAGTCTTCACTTGCCCGATGACGTCATCAGGGTCGGGCACTAAACGAGAGCATGAACAATCATTTTATCTTTTTCCATATTTATCATCCAAAAATGCATTAATTTGCTTGCAATCTAGATGTCACCTTTGATTTTCACAATTAAACCTCTTTGATAATTTTTAACCTACGATTAAATCCATCATCCTCGCTCAACTTGACGATGACACCGGAAGCCGGCTTGTCTCCGCACAGCAATTTGCCCTTTACGGCCACAGATTGGGTCCGGAAGGCCGCGGAAAAGGGGATGAGGGTGGCTAAGCAGATTATTAGCATTCCACGCATACTTATCTAAAAGGTACCGGGGTGACGGGTTATGGCAACATTTCCAGAGGGGTCAAAGGACAACCACAAATAATACAAAATTCGAAACTGGAAGTTAAAAATCAAACGTGATTGCTTGAAGATCAATTACCTTTAGAAAAGAAAAATGCAAACTACTTTTAGACAAAAAGTGAATCGAGAAAAGGAGCCGTGAATTTGTCAAGTTTAAAAATATGGGTCTAAATGACGTACACCTGCTGGAGAATCCAAGTTAAAGGTATAGAATAGGGTAGGTATCAACGTCCCATTAGAGGAAAATTAATTCCAATGACTTTTCAACAAACCAAAGGCTATCCATGCGATTAAGCGCGAGAATTCCGGGTGGCGAGGGTGGGGGTGAGGGTCTGTTTTCCTTTGCGGGGTCACTTCAGCGGGACCCCGTGTTATCAGTTTCCTATAAGCTGCGCCAACCCCGGATACGGGAAATCAGGCCGTACCGGCGTGTCAATAAATAAATCAAGGTGCTTGTACAGGGTGAGGCATATATATCGAAGCACCCCCGGGCCATGAAATTTTGCATGCAAGCAAAAAACCAACCAGTTTTTAGGGATTGTGCATATTTACCAAAATACAATAAGTGGTTCCTGATGCAGGGGTCAAAGAAAAACGATCGCCGACTGCCTTGTTTTTTATTTATCATTTATGAAAGTTTAGCCGTTTTGTCGAAAAAGTGGTGTGTTGGCACGCTGCTCCTAGAGATCGGCCTAAAAGTAGCACCGTCTCAGGATTCTCGTTTCTAGCTTGATTAAGTCCTATCTACAGGGTGTCCCAAAAAAAAACGAACCATCTGGCATTTCGTCATGTCACATCCAATCGGTCCCAAATTTGGACCAGAGGTGTATCAGACCCTAAATAACAACAATCCTGACTTATAGCCTTGTAGCTACAGTAGTTCTCGAGTTATAACAAAAACAAACCTTAGTTTCTATTTTTGCATAGGGTTTCGGTGGAATTAGACCCCTAAACATTAAGTGAAAATGATCCGGTAGGCCTTCTTTACCTTAAGAAATTTTTTGCGTAAAATTAATTAAATAATCTTCGATTTAAGCGATTTTTACAACGCAAAATTACCCAAGTTCTTAAGCGAAATTAGGGATTCGCGGCCGGAAGTCGATGCAAATCGATGCAAAGTCCAAAAAGATAGCCGAAAAAACTGTTCAGAATTCCGGTAAAAGTAGTATTTTCGTTATAACTCGGGAACGACTGTAGCTACGAGGCTAAAAGTCAGGATTGTTGTTATTTAGGGTCTGATACACCTCTGGTTGAATTTTGGGGCCGATTGGATGTAACACGGCGAAATGCCAGATGGTTCGTTTTTTTTGGGACACCCCGGTATTTATTGCAAAAGTCGGATAGCCAAAAATAAGCGAAACAATTTTGTTATAGTCAAAATCAAGCCCTGACCCAACTCAGGCCCCCTCTATCGTACCGACTAAAAATTTATTACAAAACCAGGGTTGAAAAGCCGCTCCGCGGCTTTTCACCCCTGCCCCTCGTCTAGGTACGATCACAAAAATACTTTGCATATTCTGCCCAAACCCCGCTGACAAAAAATGGGAAATATCCTCTGTAGCCTGATTTTATAGGCAATATCCACTTCCCGTGATGCAAATTTTGTCTAACAAAGGCCCTTTCACAAAAACCTAAATTTAATGTCGAAAATAGTAAACTTTTAAAAATCTGATAAGTCGGCAGTCATCTCCACTCCATTACGCACCAAATGACGTATCAAGCATGTCGGAAAACTTCTTCCCTGACCCGTTATGAGCGGAACATACATCCGGAAGTGGATGCAAATCTACACAGACACACACACACACACTATTTTTTTATATATAGTAGGATTAACGCTCGAAGAAAACTTTTGTTTCAGCACGTTTTGACATTCTAGGTCTTTGACAAAATTAGATGTCGTTGACTAAATCAAAGAACTATACAGCTAAAAGTCGCAAACTACAATTTTATAATTTTTACTATGCATTTTGAGGACAGCTGAGTCATAATCTGAAATTTCCCGCTGATATAGGTAAATAAACTACAGCTGCGACCGTTATTTGTTGTACCTACAACGCACCAACGTTTTTGACACGCATAGGTGCCCGAATCAGGATTTTCGAGGCGGGCCGAAATTGAACCCCAAGGGGTTGCGTGCCAAGCCCACCCCCATAAGCCTCATGTTTTACATGAAATAAAAAGTTTTCAAAAATGCCAGGTTCTGTTATTTTGGGATCTTGGAAGTAGCACTAGAGGCTACATCTTGACAAAATAGCACGGCACACCGAGCTTTCTTAAATTTTTGAGGGCCTTCTGTAAATGCTTCGATATATATGCCTCACCCTGTAGTAGGGCTGTAAAAGGGCGAATTTAAGTGAATGTCAATACTAAGGCATTGAAATTTTGATGAAAAGTGGGTGATTAAATTATTGGGAAAATACCTTTCGTAACGGCGAAACCGAGGGGGGCACCTTAAAAATTTGGGACTCCCTGAAAAACAACAGCTGCCGCGTCCGCCATCTCCGATCACTTGATTCATCCCCCAGGGCCTGGGGCAATAAATTACCCAGCAATTTTGGCAGGTATGGATTGCGAATTCGATCGTTTTTTTATGGTTTTTCGCTGTTGCGCTTGTTTTCGATGGTATTAACCTATTGCAGAACCCAAAAATACGCTTAAAAATTCTGAAGTAGTGCTGCAGACGGAGAGATCGAGTACATTTTCGAGGAAATTCCGGGCTTCATAAATTATTCGGAACGCTCGGAGCACTTTGCATAATCAGAAGCTCGAGATGAAAAGCCCAGATTTTTGCAAAATAGAAACTTTCGGAGGTAGAATTTAAATCTGAAGGAAAGGTTCTCTTAAAAATACTTTATCTATTCCCTTATTTTTCATCTTCGTATATAATAATTCCGGAATTTACGGCTAAATGTGCGGATAAATTAGTATAAAATTTAAATAATTTATACGTTTTACATAATGGTAACTTTAAGGTTTAATTTCATTCTTATGAACTTCTATTACCATTATTCCATTACAATTATCATGCCCATGGCCATACTTTGTTCCCCCACCTGGCTAGAGTGTTGGGCGGAAGAGAAAGGTGCTTGTCCCCTCCCCTTGTTGATCCGCCATGTTACATCCTCCCAGTGTGTCGTATGGGGCTATGAACTGGCTGTGAACCCTGGGGAGGGCGATGAGGCGGCCAGTGTCCCTCATCCCCGTGGTCCAAACTCACAACTGTTGTTCTCGTTTAAATTCCGCTTGGCTCATTTTGGGTGATTTTGTGACTAACAAAGTGAAATTTGTCCCAATTGTTTGGTCTGGAATCGAAGAAGATTAGAAAATCAAAATTGTAGGGGTTTCTAGCGGAAAACTGACTGTATTTTCGTACGGCTAAGAAATTTGCTGATTTTCTTATACAGATACCCCAATTTTGCCGCTCCTCGTAGATATATATCGTTTTTTTCAGGCTCAATCGTCATTTTATTCCACAGAGAAGCGGGCTAAATTCCCCACCATAAATTCACAAAATTTCAATTTCTCGGGCGCGCGGGTCTCATTAATTTTCTTTCGCTTCATGTGGCCTTTGAAGCTTCCGCATTTTTTATTCAAATCCTATACAGCTTATACGATCTTAATTCGGTTGATTTCCAATATATACAAGTTTAAAAAAATTCACAAGTTGGGATTCGCTGGCAAAAAGTAAGGCTAGCTAGTTATTTTTAGCATAATCGATTATTACGGAGTTTATGTGAATCAGGGCGCTGATTATCAAAGCTACCTTTCCATTATCGGCTCAAAAAATTTGCTCCGAATTCACCTTTTGTGCCCGCTTAATCTCCACGCTTGATCTCATCCTACTATCCTACCTTATATAATTTGGTCGCGTATCTTTGTCTGTGTGTGTGTCCGGCCGACACTTTCGAGGCACGATTTGAGGCCCTTCCCGTGTCCAAAATGCCCCAATTCTTCGTCACTAGGGGGAATCGACCCTCCTCTTTCCGATGGCGTTTTCAGAATCCCGAGAAAATACAAGTTTACAAAGTTAAAGCCGGTTTTATTCATTTTTGGGGGTCCGGGAGGCCTAATTTGCATAATGTGAAAAAAATAGGAATTTGCTCATTCTTGCAAGTTGCACGCGCCCGTGTGGTCGTCTCTTTGGAGCTGCCTCTTGATGCCTTTCCTTCCCCTGCCCCGGGCAGTCCTCTTGAGGCATAAAACGGGTGTTGACGCGTGTTGCCAAGCATTGCATGGTGCAGTGATTAGCGCTTCACCTTGCTAATCTAACCATCGGTGGTTCGATCCTCGGATATCTTAGTTGTTTTGCTTTTTGCTCGGAAAGTGCGTTTCGGAGTAGATTTCCATGTCGGGACGTTATTATGAAATTAGTCACTCAAGCCTATAGAATGAAACTACCCGCCCAAGCATGCGCCGCAGGCCAAGGAATCACGCTAGCCGCCGAAACTAGCGCCGCAGGATAAAGGTTCAGGCCGGCCCCTGAAACTAGCGCCGCAGGCTTTAGAACAAAGCCAGCCGCTCAAGCTAGCGCCGCAGGCTTTAGAACGAAGCTAGCCGCACAAGCTAGCGCCGCAGGCTTTAGAACGAAGCTAGCCGCACAAGCTAGCGCCGCAGGCTTTAGAACAAAGCCAGCCGCTCAAGCTAGCGCCGCAGGCTTTAGAACGAAGCAAGCCGCTCAAGCTAGCGCCGCAGGCTTTAGAACAAAGCCAGCCGCTCAAGCTAGCGCCGCAGGCTTTAGAACGAAGCAAGCCGCTCAAGCTGGCGCCGTAGGCCTTAGAACGAAGCTAGCCGCTCAAGCTAGCGCCGCAGGCTTTAGAACAAAGCCAGCCGCTCAAGCTAGCGCCGCAGGCTTTAGAACGAAGCAAGCCGCTCAAGCTAGCGCCGCAGGCTTTAGAATGAAGCTAGCCGCTCAAGCTAGCGCCGCAGGCTTTAGAAGGAAGCTAGCC